CTAAACCCTGAACCCTGAAGGTTTTGGGGTCTTATGGATTTAGGATTTAGGCTTTAGGGCTCTAGGGATCCTTTAAGGGTTGTAATTAGCCCTGAACCCAAAACCCTGAACCCTTTTATAAAGCCTGACTGAGCCTTTGAGCCTTGAGTCTTGGAGACCTTATGTTGGCATCCTGAAGTGCAGGGTTGAAGAAATCGGAATCAAGATGCTCGTCAGCGAGTTTCCGTGGAATGCGGGGCCTTTCTGGAACCTACCCATAGATGCCCAAAAGCCTTGATCCTCAACCCTAACCCCTAGCCCCTAAACAAAGCTTCGAAGGCGCCCTGTCTTCGGAAACTCCCAGACAGCCTCAAGTTCCCACCACCAAGTGTCAGGGAAGGGGGGTTGAAGCACTGTTTAGGGAGTGTTGAGGGTCTAGAAGTGTGTTTGGGTTAGGGTTTAGGGCATCGGGTTCCTACTTTTTCGATCCTCCCGGGGGTCTGGGAAGAGAATAGCCTAGACAACGCAGTGTCGGCACGCAAAGTCCTGCATGGTGGCCCTGAAGTCGAGCCTCAGATTGCCGGAGCGCTGCCCAAAGTGTAAACAAGGTCAAGGGTTTATAGGGGTTGCGTAATGATAGTATTCCATCATTGCTCCCTACTGTCTCAGTATGAGGTACCCCTGCATCGTATCTCGAATACGAAGGCCCCATCTCGAACTCTAAGCCGCAAGTAGTGAACCCTACACTTGGGTATGTGAACCTTTGGTTGAAGCTTGTGTGCTTAAGGTCTCGTGTTTCGGATCTGAACTCCCTGGCCTCCCCCAAAAGCATAAACCCAAAGTGCCAGAAACTGAAACCAAGCCCTGATATGGGAGTTTCCGAAAATAGGGGTACCATATTTTGGGATCCTTATAATAAGGATCCTACTTTATTTAGGGTACCATATTAGGTTCCCCTATTTTCGGAAACTCCCATATCTGCAAAATCTTGAACCTAAGGACCCAAATACGCAAGTAATATCTGCTTGGTAAGTAAGACCTGCCTCGGGCTGCTTGCAGCCCCAGCATCGTGCAGAGGTCTGACTAATAGGTGGTCTACCAAAAACCCCATTGCAATTACTACCGCATCGGAAAAACCACCCGACTAAAGCCTTAAGAGACACTTTTAAAACCCATAAATGCTTGATTCTATTTTTTAAGGCCCTTATGTCAAGCTTTAAACCCGCGGGCATCGGGTCGAAACCGCTTCAGAGCTTGACCATGCCGTGCCGGGATCCCCGGTGACTCCAAAACGCAGCAGGGCCGAAAAAGTGTTCTACAACAATAGGGTTTAGGGTCTCAACATGGTTTGATAATATATGAGGATTTGGAAGAGGCTTTCTGCAATCATAAGGGTTCCAGAATTGCTCGATCAGTGTGACGGTTTCCCAACACAGGGTTCTGCATTGGCTTAATGGGTTCAAACACCGGAAACCCCAAACGCTAAAACCATAGTCTACGGCTGTAAGTTAAGGGTAATAGGGCGTATAAAAGGAGTTCCAGGATATTGGAGTCACCGAGTCCGGGATCACTTTGCTCGAAAATCCGCATCATGCGCTTTGCCAGAGCGACTATTGCAAGGGTCTGAAGAAGTAGACTATATGATATTCCGCCAAGATCCCCAGAGCCCTTAGCAACTTCACTCCTATAAGTACGCAAAAGCTTAAGCAATAAACTCGGTGTCGGGGCGTGTTGGGGTTCAGAACTACTAGTGGGTTTTAGGGTCAAGGAAACGATCGCGAGGAAGGCCATGGAGACATCCCTAAACCCTCTGCCAGCGAGAAGGAAGGGTCGTTCTAAACATAACAAACCTAAACCATAGGAGTACTTGGTGATGGGCCCTAAAATCCCCAACCCCTAAACCTGTTCGGGGCAGAGAGTATCGAAATCCATAATGCTTTGCGGGCTTTGGGGCATCAACGCCCTGACCGACGTAAAGCATTAACCTGCTTCAGCTGATCAGCTTCATGATGCAGAGGTCGTCATTCGCAAAAGTATCCCTTTAGAGTCCTGATACAAGTACACCACCATGTGTTCCGATACCCGCTTCTACTTTTCAAGGACCCTGTACTTGGTTCATGTCTGGCCGGGACCGGATCGAGAGCTTGAATTCTTCTAAACCCAAGTTTTGTTTTATATGAGGTGGGGTTTAGTTGGCTTTACGACTTTTAAGGTTTTGCAGGGAAGTTTAGGGTCCTGTGCGCTCGTTGGCCTTGAAAGGTGTGTGTGTGTGGGGCGTATAGAGTGCTTACTAATAGGGTCTCGCCACAGTGATGCGGAGTTTTCGCTGTTCACGAAGAAGTGGCGCCAGCTACGGTGACCCAGCCCGGTCAGGAGAGCAAGTCCCCCTTCAGTGAGCCATGGCATCATTATGATCAGTATCATAATCATGTTGATTACGGCTATCTTTAATTATTATTGATATGGTGACTACTAGCATTCTCATGTTTGTTCTCATTGACGAGTAGACACCTGTCCCTAATGTGTTTGCCCTTGTTGTCACATGCATACACAGTATATGTTCGTCTATGCGCCGTTAGCATAGCTGCGTCGGATTCATGGTTGTTATCATGGTTGTTAATACACACCCGCAACTATCGGTTGCTGCCACCCCGTTGTATATATAAACCGCTGAGGTATTCAGGCTGACTGCTTGTTGACTCGTCGGTAATGATATTTTGACTGCAGGGGCGAAGTCTTCTAGTCGAGTTTGTTCGTTTTGCATGTTTCAAAAGGGATCAGGGATCGATGGTTGTAGAGTCTAGAGGGAGTGAGGGATTGCACTTTGATTTTTCGGGCTTATGGCTAGCCATTTTCGATGATCTATATGCATCAGTTTGTCAATGCTCTCGGTTCCTTCTCCTGCTTCTGCTACATGGTACTTTGACAATACTATCGGCGACACCTGCAGTACAACGACTGCCCGCACTGAGCAATGTCGGATTAAGTATCACATGTTTTTATTGTCGTTGTTTTACGTCGGGGCATGGTCGTACATGGCCGAGTTTGGCCGAATAACCATCGAAAAGGCAGTGGGCAACTATGCGGAAAGACTATGGCTATGGAATATTTAGGAATGACTCACGGGGCGATTTGCTTCCGCTCTTCTGGACCAGCGCTCATCGTTTGCAAAGAAGTTGGTCCAGGATTTTGGGTTCAGCAGGGGGTTCAGCATTAAGTGGCGCATTGCGACAAGGAGTTATTGTGGCATGTTCTGCGAAATCTGTGCGGTCCTGTTGCAACTCCTTGTTGCTTGCAGTCCTGGTTCAGTTCAGCCTTTTCATGTTTAGCTGTTCCTCATTTCCGGCTCCCGTCACTGCTATTCTGGAATCCTTGTGTCGGAGCGGGATCTTCAGCGGTGCAGCCTGCAGATGCTCTCGCGACGCTGTCTGGCTTGGCGTCAACCATTGACATCCTGCAGTGTGCCATGAGCCAAGACCCAGACAGGAACAATGCTTTACATGTGCTGTCGTCCAAGCAAAGAGTGCGGACCGTATCGGTCTAGAAAGATACATATGCAAAGCCGCCGAGCTATAGTGTCTAATTGATTAGCTGACATTTTGATGACTGCAACATGCAGGTCTTCAACTGAAGCCAGGGATGTTGAAACATGAGACAGCGCCATGAGTACCGACAAGAAGGACAACACTAACATTGTCATAGTCAAGATACCAGTACTGATAGTGACACATGGCAACCACAACTAATCAGTAAGAGCAGTATCGCTGAAATAATAGCAATAACACTAACAACAATAACAGCATTAGCAGCAGACCCTAACACAAGCAGTTCGGAGTCTGCAGATCAAAACTTTTCCTTGGTTCTCGGATGCCGGAGTCTTAGCTCAGCATGTCATGTGCGCAAGGTTTAGGGTTAAGGGTTCAGGGTTTAGACGGTCTGCTAGGGGTTCCTGGAAGAAGTTCCTTGAATTGGACCTTTGAGATTTAGGGATTTGGCGTCTAGGGATTGAGGGTTTAGGGGGGTTTTTCAATGTAAGGTTTGCGGTGTAGGCATCTAGGGTCTCGGGTTTCCGCGTAGACTGTCTAAAAACTTGGGATAGGACTGAATGGGATGTGTTTTGAGGAGTTGCTTCGCTTTGTTTCACGCGAGCCGCCGATGTCAAAGTATTTCCCCAAAGAAGGCAAACCCTAAACCCAAACCCTAAACCCTAAACCGTCATGTGAAGAGCCTTGTTAACGAGAGAGACCAGTATCGCTGCAGACCTTGCCAGGCTTTGTCCGAGTGTGAGTGTCAAAATAACCGTCATGTAGAGCCGGTTTTGCCACTGAAGCAGTCAGTTAACAGTGCTATGGGGGACTGAGGAGCCACTGATATTGTACCCTTGTACTGCAGGATTGCGCAGCATGCCCCAGACCTGAGCGGATCCGTTCAGAACGGGTCGGGAATGGGAATGGAATGGCATGGAAAGACTTGTTCAGATGATTAGAAGGTGATTTGTGCTGGAGCCTGCGATTTCGTGCCCTTGCATTGCGAGACTCTTAGTGATGGCAAGGCAGAAAAAGAGAGAGAGAGAGAGAGAGTTAGAGAGAGAATTTGTGCTGGCTTGTTTTGCGCACTTGATCAGCCTGTCGGCAAAACCGGAACACGGTGGGAGTGAGCAGACCACGAGCCGGAGAGTCTAATCGGAATGACTCTATAAGGCTCCATGTACCTATAGAAATATGGGATGGTCCGAACATTGGGGGTACCTCATTTTGGGGTCCTTATAACAGGGATCCTACTATTTAGGGTACTATATAAGGGTCCCCTGTTTTCGGAAACTCCCATATACTTGCGCTTACAGGGGTTCTATATGGGCACGTTGAGGCCTAAGCATACACTGGGTATGTAGATACATGGGTAAGCCCTAGCCGTAGAAGAAAGCGTGACCAGCAACCAAAAGAGAAATCTAGACCCCAAGCAACCCTAACCCCTTGACGCACATAAACCCTAAACCGCAAGGGGCTGTCCACCGAGGCGCCATGGTAAACAGTGGCCGCACGCCTTGGCCTTGGAGACATGCTAAGGGGCACAGACTGCAGGGTTTAGGGTTTAGGGAAACCCTAAAGCCTAAAGTTTCAGTTCATTCAAGCATAACTTTCCCGAAGAAGTGCGACTTCCTGAAGTCATTGGCCCTGGACTTTTGGTCATCATATCTCAGTTTTAGCTCTCCCGCAAGCAAACAACTGACCCCAAACCCAGGCACAAGAGTGGGCAACAATTCGCTGAATTGCAGTTGTTATAATCTGCAAGCAAGTATATAGGTAAAGCCGGCTACACAGGTAAACCCCCAAACCCAAACGACAAGTGCTCGCACGCTAAAGTTTTCAGGCTTCGCACCGGCGATTTGCAGAATCGACATGGGCTGCAGTCACTTCTGGGGATACAGGGCGGTAAACCATGGTAAACCTTATAAACTCTAAACCCTAATCCGTGCCTGTTTCGTGCGAGTCCGCAAGTTGAAAGCCCTAGTTCGTGGTCGGGAGGGTAATGAGACGGTTTAGGGTGGGACACTGCAATGCCAGTCCCCAAAGCCGACACCCAATGCATGAGACCCTGTGATTCATTGTATCCTGCTGCTTTCAAGCGGTCCGGGCCTAACCGAGACTGTGGAGCCGGTGTAGCACCGAACTCTGCCCTGCTATTCAGGTTTGAACATGAAATACTTAGGGGTACTTAGTATTTTTTAATTTTTTGTTATTATAATCCCTAAGAAACTGCTAATATCCTACTTTTTGCGAGGGTTCGAAGTTCAGTATAGGAAACCCAATCCAGAAACCCGCCTCTTAAGGCTTACCCGACGTAACCGTTGAAACTTTACTAACCCTAAGCCGCAAAGTCCAAGCCTCAATGCGAGCCGAGAGAAGACTTGCGCCGAATACTTGGAGGATCATGGGACTTAGTAAGTAGGTTATAAGTGGGGTTATAAGTCCCCTAAGTGGGGTTATCCTAAGTATAACCTACTTATAACCTTACTTACTAAGTCCCATGAGCCTCCAAGTAAGGACATACGGGCCGGATGCATCAAACCCTCAGGCGAATGCAAGTTGCCTTGTGTGATTCAGGGTTTTGGGTGGAGTGAAATGGAAGTACGAATATGCAGCAGCCATACCCGTCTCTTGGCCCGCCCATTAGTGGTGAAGGGCCTTATCAATGAGTTGCATCCCACTGATGACCTCACGTACAGCCCAATTGAGCAGAGATCAAACCCTCCATCAACCCGCAACGCGGTGGAAGCAACGTTCGCATGCGCAGAAACATTGTGCACAGCCTTAGTGTGTTTGTTTGCGAAGCATATGCTGGTGTAAGGATTAAAAGTTTGCATCGCTTCTTGTTGCTGTACTTCTCGCTTCGTTTAGTCAGCCTACTTGTCTACTGCGACGACGATTACGACGATTACGAGGACGACTGCTGCGATTACTACTAAGACTACTAAGAAGACATTAGTACTGCAGCTGACCTCCAAAGCCTGTGCGTAAGGGACAGTTGGCTCCGGCGAAGCTGCACGCACCCAAACGGTTCTGTTAGCTGCCAGTGTCTAATATAGAAGCCTGAATACTTAATTGGAATAGGGTTTCCGGGGTTTCTTATTATACTCCTAGTACAATAGACCCCGAAGCCCTATTCTAGTTTTTCAGCCCCTACATAAAGGATTTTGTTATGGATTTTAGTTTTTGGCCACCAAGTCCACCGACTGGAGGGGATGTCCTACACGAGAAGCTTTAGTCACGAAATAATGGTTAGGGCTTAGGGTTACCTTATCCTTCCAAACCAGGCTCTCTTGTGGGACCCCTACAAATCCTGTTCGGCCGCTATTATAATGAAATAATTTGGACAATGTCGGTTCCGGTAGGTTAAGTTGAATTCAGAGCTCAGAGATTTGAGGGTGTGTCCGTATTCTCCACAAGAGTGAATTGTGGCTCCGGCTTTGCATAGGGCTTATAAGCCCAAAAGCCTCGTAGCCTTTGAATCCTAATTTGAAGACCCGAAACACGACCTCAACACCCCAGGACCCAACAACACTTCACAAAGCGGCTCAGGGCTCATCTTGTTTTGGGTTTTCGGTGTAGGGGTCGGGGTTTAGGTGTTTAGGAGCTTAAGGGTTCGGAGGGCGCTTCCTTTCTACCAGGTTCGTTGAGGGTGCAGGTTTTTGAACTTCACCCTAAACCCTCAACCCTAAACCCTGAAATCCTAAACCGTGAAACCCTGATCCGCAGGGGGGCGTGTATGCTTACCACGAAGTCTCGCAAAATGCAGCTGGAAGTCCAGGCTACCGGGGAAGATCTGAGATCAGTCTTCAGGGCTTTAGGCCATAGAGGTTAGGGCTTACCTCAACCCCAAAAGTGAGTGAGCGAGTGAGTGCGTGAGTGGATGGCCTGGGGTGTACTCCGGCCGGGGGTGTACTACCCCGAACCTAGGTAGACTAATGGCCCAACACCCATCAACAAGCCATTCCTCTACATACTTTTGGGGTCTAGGTAGGGTTAAAAGGGTGGGGTGGTGGGAACTTCCTTGCAATAAGGAGCCTTTTCGAACTCTTTGCCATACTCTACCTAGACCTAGACACTACAATGCAGGACCGGTTGGGGATTACTTCCTTTTTGTGAAGACCCGAAACCCTAAACCCTTCAAACCTAAACCCTTAAACCCGAAACCCTTAAACCCTTAAACCCTAAAGCCTAAACCCTAAACCGTAACCATAGAGCAGGTTATCCAGAGCAAGGTACCTGCATTGTAGGGTCTAGGTGCTGTAGTCACAACATGCTCCGAAAGGATAATTCGCAGTTCCCTTGGCAAGTGAGGGCGGGTTCCGGGGCATACGGCCATGAAGTGTTTGTTCAATCTGCGGTGGGATTTCAGTGCTTGTCGACCTTTGGCTTGGAGATGTTGCGAGGATTGCAAGGCCTTGCTCGCAGGATGTTCACCTCGCGCTGAACCCCGAGCCCGAAGACCTAAACCCCGAGCCCTAAACCCCTGAACCCCCGAGCGAAGCCTTAAACCTAAAACCCTAGATTCTGAGCCCCAAGCCCGAAGCCTGCCAACGAACAGATAACGAATTGGGTTTGGAGCCATCCTGTACCGTACGTATGATAACAAGGAACCCTAAACCCCCGACCCATGCAACCTGTACTGTAGCAGTGAGCCCGGACCACAAAAGGGCAGCTACAGGAGCAGTCACCACGTACTCCCCGAGTCCATTCCGCGCAAGTCTAAGTGCCCAGCCAAGATCCATAAATTGAAGCTCCAAACCTCAGCCCCACATTGTAACAAGGTAGCCCTCAACATTTGTGGGCACACAAACTCCTACCTTCCACAAATGGTGAACCTGTTCTAAATATTAAGGCTCCAATAGCAATCGAGGTTCCAGGTTATATAAGCCCTAAACCTTCGAACCACCTGCCTCGCCTGGATTGTCCGAGCGCGTGCGCCCAAACTCTAAACCCTAAACCGGCCTTGCACATCTGCAGGCTTCGCCGGCGACCAGTACTCCACTGCGATAGATGCATACGTCTCAGCTCCCACCGTCGGGTTTAAGACTTAGGAGAGAGGGTTTAGGTCCTTCCGACAGAGGAACGCCGAAAGTGTAAATTTTACAGGCTATTGAGATTGACTATTGATTATGTTCTACGACGGCCGGCGTGACACGGGCGCATACATACAAACATGCCACTGTTATGATCATAAGTGGCAGTCTGGCCAATTCTCTGCAGATGCCAGAGCCTGCGAGATTCGGGCATCACTTTGCATAGCATGGGTTCAGAAAACTGAGGTTAAGTGTTGTATGCTTTGGGGTTGTGTCATCGGAATTTGGGATCACATTTCAGCATCCTGCATTCGCACCAAGCCCGCGAGTGAAGATTCGCGGTCTTTAACCTTTAGGGATTCACACAACCATAGCACGAGTAAAAGCTTAAACTTACCTTGGGTTTGGTGACTCAGCCCCTGCGGGTCATAAGTTCTGTTTTGGAGCTTCTCTAAAGGATTCTAGTGTGTAGTTGTTTGTGATGCCGAGGTTCAGGGCCAGGGATACATACCCGCCACGCAACATGGCCAGCCGGTCGGGCGCCCGAGCTTCCTCATCCTCATTGTTCTGCACGTCAGCTAGTGCCGGATCTTTGTCGCAAACTCTCAGCACGAGTTTTGCCTGTGTGCGTTGAATGCGTATGCTGCGTCGGGCTTCTGTAGGCCTGTTCTTTCCGCACTGCTGACAGTACAAGTGCAAAAATGTTCACGATTGTCATGGTTGCTTTTGCCATCGGCTGTCCTTTTGGTCCTCCTCGGTACTACGAACATCATGTGCAATCACGAACTAAGAATCATGTCACTGTGTTTGGTCTCGTTCGCTCCCAAGCCTTATCCCCCCGCCCTCAAAACTCCAGGTCGAATGCCTGCACCATCAATCCTCAGCTTTGAATCGCCCCGAAAACCTTTTCAGGCACACCTTCAAACCCTTGCTGTAACTCAGCATGCCTCCTGGGCCCCTTCTGGAACCTTAGACACTAAAATGTCTTATGCTATTTCTCCTACTCATGTGTCCGCATGATCCGCCCTGACCTGTTCGATCGTCATCGACTCCTGCCGAGATTCGCAACAGCGTCATCCTGGAAATCGTACTGTAGTCCTGTAACAGCAGCAACGACGACGACAGCAACAGCAATCAATTGTAACGGCACATAATATTTTGCTGCGAGTCCGATTGAACAAATGGCCTGTGCGGTGGTGCAGTGGTGCGCACGTCCCTGCAAGAACCACAGGTAGTTTAGGGTTGAGGTACTTGGGCTCTACTTGGCCTGATCTATGCAACACCACCCCTGTGGGTTTACAGGTGGCAATTTGCCTTCAGCCCGTTTTGTCGCACTCAATTCCAAAGGAACGGCAGAGCTGTCAAAACTAAACCCGATACTGCAAAACCTGGACCCCTGGAACGGCCACATGGTGCACTACGCAGGGTCTCATGTAGGCCCTCTGCTCCCAAGGACCCTGAGCCCTAATGGAGGAACCCGACTAACAAACCTTGGGCCTTTACTAGGGTTCCTTCTATGAATCCTACTATTTGGGGGTTATAGGCCCAGGGTTTCTTGATCAGGTTCCTACATTTAAACCCTGACGTAGGTCGAGGGCAGCCAATGCCAGGCAGGTGTTGGGCGGTTTCAGATGCGGATGCGGTATGCATGTCTGCTCGAATCTTGAGGGCCTTACGGTCTTATAATTCGGTGTTTGCTTAGTTTGGGGATTCTGCCAAAGGGCTTACATTCCGATTTCAAGGTTGCAAGCTTGAATTTTTCGGGAAGAAGAGCTGTGATGACTTGGATATTAAGCAAGGGGTTCCGTTGGCACTCTGTTCTCAGCTTGAAGCGGTGCAGCTTTTTTGAGCAGGGCAGCCAATACTAGCTAACTGAGCCCCGAACCCCCATTCCCAGTGCACAAACCCTAAACCCTAAGCCCACAAATCGAGAAGTGTACCAGGTAATGACATGTCCTGGTAAGTGTATCCTTGCCGGAAAAGTCCAGTAGCTTACTTTTCCCTGTTGAAACCGTGGACAAGAGGGGTGTTGTGGATCTTCAAGGTCCGTTGACCTTGTATGGGGATCCTATTTTAAGTGCTACAACATTAGAGTCCACACTTTCTTTCAACCTACCAAATCAGTGAATTAAGCTGCCTCGATGTCATGTTGCACCCCGCATCCTCGCCGTCGCGAATATAGGGGCCTCAATAATTACCTTTTGTACACAGATCCCTTCTGTTTGTGTAATTGGACCCTTAGGGTCAACCAGTCGAGTTAGGAACGACAACAGCCGCAGCAGTGACACAGGAGCCACAAAACAGCCGCATCAGCAAAGCCACCAGCTGCCTGTTTTTGTTCATTCCAAGGGTAAAAGGAGGGACCCTTAATAAGGACCCCTAGGTATATACCCTTAATATAGCTATTATATACCGATTATATAGCCCATTATAAGGTAGGGGGTCCCCATTGAGGGTCCCTCCTTTTCCCCTTTGCTTCATGCTCTGCCCTACAGCTCGGCAGGCGATAGCGAACATGTTTTGCACGAAGCCGGATCCCCGGCTTTTGTTGATTCTGGCTTCAACTTATGACGAATGCTAATGGCGAAGCTGTATATCTGAAGGCGGTGCAGGACAGCAGCGCCGGCGTCAAGCGCAACGGAGTACTCATATTCCGGAAACAGGATTAAAAGGTTTCCTGCTTTGCGTTCAGGTTTCAGACGAAGATTTCACACATAGAGGAGTCATATATAGGTGGAATGCCTGGGCTCATATGGGTGGTTGTCAAAATTAGGGTCCCCTTTTGGGTCCCTAATATAGTACGGCACCTCATATTTAGGGTACCCAAAAAGGGGCCAGAATTTGACAACCACTCATATTATGCTAACAAGCACCATGGTGTTTTGGCATGGGGCTGGAATTTTTGTGGCTAAGGTTGGCTTGGAAACAACTTGCAAGCTTGCGTGGGGTGATGTCGACCCTTGGCCAGTTAACCACCCAAGCACGAGAGTTGTCAAAATTAGGGTCCCTTTTTGGGTCCCTAATATAATACGGCACCAATTTTTAGGGGGCCATAATTTTTGACAACCACCCATTTCATGAGTACTCTCTTTTTGTGAGCTTGAAGGAAGGAACACGGTGTCTATGCTGCTGTGCTTGCAGCCCTGCCCCAACGTCCCACAGCCTCTCTAGTCTCAGCAGGCATCACGAGCCCCCCCTTCGCCTCATGAGGTTGAACGTCCTCTTGATCTTCGTGCCTTTGGGGTGCGCCAGGGTAGGGCTGGACATCCGGGGGGGGCTTGCCTACTGGACTCGCGACTCCGCGGGCGAGCGGCACATGTTCATTCATAGTACTACAGGCGCGTGAACGGTTTGCAGAGGCTTCTAAGATACACTATGGCACGATGATTCAGGGTTTCCAAGGGGCATCACTACTAATTATTCAGACCTGGCCTTACAGTTTCTTTTGAACAACCCTATGGAGTTCTTAGCCACGAGCCCTGCCCTAAACTTCTAAGGCCCAAGCAACCTCGCCTTACCAGTTTTGGGTATAGGGTTTTCGGTTTAGGGTTCAAAGAATCCCAGCGACCGAGACTTCAGCAGTCGTCGTGGGTTTGCTATGACTTCCAGGTCTACGGCTAATCTTGAAGTAGGTCGTGGTTCTGAAGCCTTCCTCCTTATCCAACCTGACCCTCTGGAAACGATCCCTCAGTGTCCAAGTACCACGTAAATCCCACAAGTACCGTAAACCCGGAACACCAAACCCTCGGCCAGGCCTTATGGTAGCTCAGATGGTTGTGCAGCCATAACAAGGAGCTCAAAAAAAAGCTCGGCCAGGATCGTCAGCCACTACCAAGAGTGGGGCCCACTCTCAGCCCGAGTCTCAACAGACTCGGGACGGACTCTGCCCGAAGCTCTCCGAGTAGATTTGTGTGGTTCAGGGGCTAGGCTTTAAAACTTTAAGAAGAAGTTGTATAATTGGATTCGGAAGGAAGGCCTGTGAAAAATCTTTGGTTGTTGGTGCACAAGCACAGAGAGCCACCCTGGGGCTACCCTAAATAAGCCCATTACCCTGCTGGCAAACTCACAGTTGCTATCATCCGGATGACGGGCCTTGTTTGATGATTGACGGTTTAAGATTGTGGAATTGGGGATCGAAATTTGAAGAGGATTGTTGTATCTATGTAAGTCCAAAGCAACTGTCAAGATGCAGACAAGTACACTTCGCTTCTTTCCACGACCCAGCATGACAAGGTACAGCAGACGAGTTGTGGGAACCCATGTTGACTATCTTACACTGAGCAGGGTTGGTGTATCAAGTACTCCATTTTGGTTAGGGCTCTGTTTATCGCAGGGCCTTAATTGTGTGTGTGTGTGTGTCTGTGTATGACCCTAAACCCTAAACCCTAAACCCTAAGCCTAAACATACATACGGAGGGACGACTCCTCAAGAAGATTGAGGAGAGTGTACATTCGGGCATACATTTTCTGCGGAGCACTATTAGCCTGATATTAGAGCTCCCTAGTTATCTGAGCTCAGTAAGTCCTGTTGGAGATTGTGGGTAGAACTATTACTGTTAGTATATAATTCGGAGGGATCGTTTAACCTATAGTTATTGTGCTTCTTCAGATATAGCGGCTACTGTTCCTCAAGCCCTACATTGTTTAGAGTTAAATATGAATCTGTAGGAGTTGTTTTTTCAGCTCGAAAAGGGTCACAGTAAGCGGGCCTTATCATGAGAATGGGCATCTGTGAATGGATAGCGGCCTTCGCCTTAGCAAACTCAAGAAGGGATTTTCGGTACATTGCAGTGTCTGTTACAGCAATCCGCAGAAAGTTGAGATTCCCTCTACATCACTCTTAAGGATTGAGGCTATTGGCTTTCCAACTTTTGGGCTTCTACTGTATAGCAAGCAACCCTGGGAAAGACTATGAATGATCAGGGCCCCTGTGTTACTCTTACTACGGGGTTGTCCGGCCGCATGGACCGGCTGTGCCTTGTTGTGCCCATAACCCGGCAACCTGTTTCCCAGACACATGGACTCTTAGGGCAATTTCAAAAACCTAAACCCAGTTCTGAAAGTGTATACACCAAGCTCTGATGGATCCCTCTGGAATCCGTGCCTGCCCAGTGCGAGCACGCGAGTCGAACACCCTAAACCTTCCTTAAACCTGGAACCCCTAAACCCCTAAACCCTAAACCCCTGAACCCGAAACCCTGAACCCCTAAACCCTAAACCCCTAAACCCGAAACCCCTAAACCCGAAACCTTAAACCCCTAAACCCTCAACCCCTAAACCCTAAACCCCGAAACCCCTAAACCCAAAGCCCTAAGCCTTGAAACCTAAGGTTTTCACCTTCAACTTCATGGCCATAGTTCCGCTGGCCGCAGCCACGGGAATAGGACTGCTGGATTTCGGGTTTAGGGCTTTAAGCGTTTCGAATGACTGGGAGAGAGAGAGAGAGAGAGAGGGCTTTAAGCGTTTGGGGTTTTAGTATTGCTAGGCTGTTTTACGCGGATTAGGCTGTAAGGTATAGTGTTTGATTATGTTTCGGGCTTAGGGGGGCGATGCTGCATCGAAAAGCTTTTGCCTTGGTCTCGGCACAGGAGGGCATTGTCATTGAATGTTTGCGGCATGTTTACAGCTGCATGGTTGTGCAGTCGAGATTCAGCATCAGACGCGGTTTTTCTTTGCTTCTCAACCGTGAGCGCTGCAGCTTCGGTAGGCTGTGACCGTGACTTGATGTGGACCCCTGATGAACAACCCCCCTTTCAATGCATAGGAATTAATGAGTTAGAGTAGGGACCACAACATGGAGGCCCTGAAAGTCCTGGGTCTACAGGAGGGTTTGGCGTTTGTGTATGACAGTGGGGTCATGTAAAGGTCCATCCAATTGGCTTCCCATCTTGTCGTGGAGCCTGGTCTTCCTTCTTCAGGTTCAGGGTATTCGGTTTTATTCTTTTTGCATCGTGCATGACGGAGAGTTTAATTACGGAACTCGAAGTGATGCACCTTCTTTATGGGTTTCATGTCTTTTAAGGCACCGGATGGCGAGATCCCGACAAGCGGGGACTCATGGCAGACTGCATTGGAAACCAACACGTGTATCTGCATGTGTCTCTATACTCTGTATATATGGAGCGAGAGAGAGGGAGAGAGAGAGACCCGTAACCTGAAATAGTTCGATCCTTAATTGCCGACCCTCAGAAAGCTTATTTCAGGTACCTGTGATACAAAAAAAGCCTCGCAATTGAGGCGGGCATCCTGGGCGGAGCGACCGAGAAACTTGCTGTCGGAACCCCATTTGGTGGGTGTTTTCGGGTGTTGATGGGGTCTTTAGGGTTGCGGATTTAGGGTTTAGGGTATGTGTTTTCTGGTGTTTAATTGTAGGGTCTGGGGTGTAAGATGCAGTAGATAGGGTTTCGGGTATAAGGTATAGGGCGTGCGTTTTCTGGTGTTGATGGGTTCTGATGGGTTCTAGAGGTTTATCATTCAATAGAGGTTCCGATTTTAGCTATACTTCAAGATCCCCCAACCCTCTTCGAATTATGCAGCCGCTACAGTAGGGGCTACAGTAGGGTTTGTTGTAGATCTTTCTGGTGTGTATACCACAACCTACCAAATACTTTCTGTAGGGTCCCTGTAAAATCCAAATTAGGGTTTATAACAAGAACCTACAAGAGAATAGGACTCTCACAACACACTCGCAAGAGGCTTCGGGATTTGTAGACTGCAGATGCCCTGGGTGACATAAGAAGTGCCCTTCGTGGGCTTTTGCTTGGGGCATTGGGGGCTTCAGGCCTTTGGGGTTAGGGGCTTAGATCCCAAAACCTCTATAAATCCTACATAAACCTTTTTTGGCTTAGATCCCAAAACCTCTATAAATCCTACATAAACCACCCTAAAGCCCTGGACCCCTGAACCATATAATATAAACCTAGAAAGACTCATGGCTTGGCATTACATCGCAACTGTTCATCAATCACTTTGTGAAATCATGTTGTCGTTTCTCGGCAAATTGCTCAGCCTGTGAAGTAGAGGCATGCTAAAACTGCGAGGAGTGGCATGCAGTGGTTCAACCACGGCACTGGTATTTTCCATAACCTCCTTTTTTCGAAACCGCAGTAGCTACTTTAGCTGTTTCTACTTTCAGTCTCTTGTGGTGTACCTTCGTTAGTTTTGTTTCGTTCTCGCAAAGCTGCCATGTGCTACTGTAGCAGCACTACTACTACTACTACTACTACTACTACTACTACTACTACTACTACTACTACTACTACTACTACTACTACTCTTACTACTACAACAGCTATTTGTATTCTGTTTGCTCTCAGCACGAACCCTAAACCCTAAAACCCTAAACCCTAAACCCTAACCGTTACTCGCTCCGTTCCTTTCACTGAGCCTGACTTCCTTGGCAGCTTCGCTGGCCCGCCATCCTCGGCCCAAGGCTAAATGGCTTAGAGATCGAGCTCCAGTTGGGGCTTTTGTGCCTCCCCACCTTTGGTTCTAGATTCGGATTTGGAAGCAAAAAAACGTGCTATTGCAGCAACTCTTGAACTGAGTGGGTGAGTCTTTGTTTGTCTTGCCAGGCATGTCACAGCCTAAGCCTAAGCGTAAGCATGCCCACTGTATTACGACTACCGACTCCGGGCAATCAAGTCCGTAGCTTCGCAGCTGTCGGCCGTGTCAACACCTCCGTCTTGAGCAACAACCTTCACACAAGGACGTTCATATCTCATGGTAGCCTGTAGAAGCCATCCTCAACACTTTGTCTTCGGCCAAGAACCCTAAGCCCTGAACCCCTAAACCCTCAACCCTAAACCCCTGAACCTTGAACCCCTGGAGCAAATCCCAAACCCTGAAACGCCATGAAGTCCTACTTCCGCGATGGCATCTTGAAGACACACTCTCGCTGTTGGAGCCATGCCGCTCGGCTTTTTGGGTTCATGATGGGAAGCCTCAAAAGGTGGGATGAAGGCTGGTAGGTAGCTGTTTAGGGCTTACAGGGTTTAGGATTAAGGATCCCTTATGCAAGGACGCTTGTTTGGGAATATCCCATCTACCTTCATCCCGCCTTTGGAGGTCCCCCCACAACAGTTGCCACAACATTTGCGGATCAGATGCCTCTGGGGCTTGGTGTAGGCAGCGGTGGTGGCGACGCTTAGGGTTTCGGGGCTAGTAGAATCCGAAACCACGCAGCTGCGAAGCGATGTATGCGTCCACGAAGTGGGTCCGAGCCACTCTGAATAGCCTTAAGGTTATATCTTGATGGTGACGCAGGTGTACGGTCTTCAATGAAAATGAGTGATGTGACTTCACCCGGTTCGCGTGACGGAAAGCCTGTGTAAGTAGGCCATGTAGGCCCTTATATTATGTAGCAACCCTTGCTGATAGTGTAGGAACCTGATTAAGAAACCCTGGCCCTTTGACCCCAATATATTAGGATCCATATGAAGAGCCCTTTTGAAGGCCCGAGGTTTCTTAACCAGGTTCCTACATTAGGGTTCCGGGTTAAGGTCCGATTTGGTGTGTAGAAAGCTCACTGGCTATCGATCCAAGCAAGAGCACTAAGCCCAGGTTCTCATGCTGGCTTGCGAGGTTTACGGCCCTCGCAACTTTGTGGCCTTGAGCCATGTATGAATGGGCTGCTTGTGTTAGTTCCTACACCCTCCTCAACCTGAAATTCATTTGCCTGCAGCACAAAGGCTCTCCACGCGAAGCCCTAAACCCGAAACCGTCCAGCCAAACATCCAGTCGGATCATGGTTTTACTTTGGTGCCTGAAGTCCTGAACCCACCCTAAACGAGGCTAGACTCTGCTGAATTCTAGACCTCGAGACGACTTCAGGGCAGAGGCGTTAGGGTTCAGGGGTTAGGGTGTCGGGTTTAGCATTTAGGGTGAAAGTACAAACTCCTAAACATGAAGCGGATGCATTTAACCCCTGCAGCCGAGATCGGTGTCCACGTGGGTTTGGGATGTCAGAGTCTTTTGATGTGGGGCTTTCTTGGTTTGTAGGGCTCGGTCAGGGTGTGTGTTTAGGATATGGGGTTTAAGTTCGTGTGAGTAGTTTTGTCTCTTTGTATTTCTTACTGGTAATATCAATAGATCCCAAAATCCAGGTCTTCAGATAATCGAAAATGCGCTCGTTGCCTTTCCCCAAGCTGCAAAAGCCGAGGAGAGCGAGAGCGCAAGGCTACACCTGGCTATAGGCCACGGAATTTTCATATAGATGCCTTTGATATGTATCCAGCAGCCTATTTTCCAGGCAACTGGGGCCTTACACTGAACTTCACCTAAAAACCTAATGGCACCATTCGGGAAGCAACCGGCAAACAACAGATCAAGCGTGAGAGCTGAGTTTTATGGATACCCAGGGGCTCCATGGTAGTTCCTTTTTGGGATTACCTTATAGGATTCTATATATGAACCCCAAAAAGGAACTACTTTGGAGCCTTAGGGTAGTGCAGAACCCCTGAAACAGCACTAAGGATCCACTTCGGTGCTAACGTATTCTGGCAGTTCCTGACCCTCAATGCAACGATCGAGGAGGCTTTCAGGACTTGGGCGCACGAATTTAGGTTAAGCACATTGAGGGAGCCGTTGGATGTTCACAGAGCGTAGGAAGAAGCAGCAACGAAAACTTGTTCTCATCGTGGAGACGGCAGAATCAGATGGTGCGAACTGTGCATGCATCATGGCGACTAGAATTATCTAGTGCATAGGCTTCAAGCACTGAATTCGCAGAAGAATACTGCAGTGAGTAAGCAATGTCTCAGACCAGCGCACCGTGGCAGTTTGGCACATTGACCCCAGCTTGGACAGGACCGTGGATGTGATCACCATCATGCCGTGCTCTGACTTGACACCAACGGAGTACAGCTTAGTAGCTGGCTATAGTGACTTGTACGTAATGTCGCTTGAGCGTTTACCAAGCATTATTCTTTAAGGTTTCCTCATTTTGGCTGCACTACAAGGTTGTTGAGGCGCCTCTGTTACTGTTGTCGTGTAACTGCTTGCAGGATGCAGGTGTGCAGTCCTTTGTCTGGGGCTAGGGTACTCGGATCCTGGCATACGTCTGAAGGCCCTATAGCTCGACATTTTAGTGTCTAGGGTTCAGGGTTCAGTGTTTATAAGGGGTTGGTGGATTCCTTCTTTCCTGACCTACTGTCTCAGCAAGGGGTGCCGTTTTGGGGTTCGGGCATCCAGATGGGTGCTCTCATCGTTAACAAAAAACTGGGGTTATTGTCATGATCACTGTGACCACTAGCACAAGATATGGAGTACTGTTTGTTGTTCGCTAACAACTCGTAAGGCTTGCGGATGACTCTTCTTCGCCTTGTTGTGACTGCTTTGAAGACGTCTGCAGAAGTCGAAAGCAAGCCCATGCTTGAACCGTTTGCACCGAAGTCGGAAGTTCGAACACAATATTGACCCCAAGCCCTAAACCGTGAATTCGGAAAAGAGGGGTCCATGCCCAAAGAAGTGAATCAAGATGAACGAACACAAACATGCCCAGCACGGACCATTCCCAGAACGAAGAAACCCTAAACCTTACTCGTACCTTGAACCCAAACTGCGTACTCCGCCCTTCTGGCAAGGAAAACCTTCCGACAAAAAGCGATTTCTGCTCGGTACCTTGGGTCTAGCCAGGCGGCGGTGCTAAACCCCAAACTCTATAAGCCCTGAGCCCAAACCCCCAAACCGAAAGCCCTAGACCCTCAACCGAAAGCCTAAACCTCTGTTTAGGCGCCATCTGCTCTTTCCGTTAGCTTCCCAGGCTTCTTTTCAGCGGCCTCCATGACATTGCACCAGCGGAGCTTCCACGGGGGCCTGGGGGCTAGGTTGGAAGAATATGGGGGCCTTTGAGCAGGAAAGGGTTTTGGGGCATATAGTATTGTCATTAGGTATGTATAGCAGCTAGTACTATTGCTGATTCTTATTTCGGTCCCTGTATTTGTTCTTCGGGGGTTTAGGGGCTTAGTGGTTTTGGATCTAGGGTTGAGGGTTTCACGAGTGGTGCTGGGTTTTTCTTTTCGATGCCGTAGGTTACATCTAGCGGTGGGACACGTCTGGGATTTGTTTGATTTAGACTGGTTGGGTTTGGGCTTGAGGGTTTTCTTGTAGCGGCAGAACAGACATGCCCGTACTTTGGCACTGGGGGTTCCTCTGTCTCCGGCATGACACTTCTGGTCTTGTTGGTCGATGGGACCCATCAGAGTCTGCTTCGGAAGTTTTCAAATCTTGTAACTCAGTCCAAATCCCGACACCGAATGTTTGAAGATTCATGGGCATGCATGGTAGCCAGAAGTTGGTCGACAAGTACGATGAGCTTCAAAGCTATGACTACTTCATCAAGCGTACCAGTTTTCAACTCCACCAACCTTAAAGTGCGAGCCCTACACCCCAAAACATGCGATAGATCCCACCAAACTGGGTGTGTTCAAAGGAGCAGCACCTGCAAATCCAAGTGATGGGCATCTCCACCTTTGTCCTGGCATCGCTGGCAACAGCAGCTTAGACCAACTTCTCTGATCTGTCGCATACTTCACAAGATGGTCACGGGGGCTCGTCTTTTACGTGCTCACATTATGCCAGTACACCTCCCTGGTCCGCTGCTTCCATGCCTTCAAGTTTTGTTCAACTGTGGCATACCTATAGTCTCCATTGTAGTTCCTTTTTGGGGTTACCTTATAGGATCCTTAATATGTACTTGGTTAAACCAAATAAAGGAACTACAGTGGAGACTACAGGTAAGGACGAAAATCAGCAGTCTTGAGCTCACAAAGCTTCATCTGCCCCGGCTTGCTTGACCCGTTCAAGCCTTATAGTAAACCCCAAAAAGTTGGAAACCGGGTTAAGGCCAAATAGTGCAGGGATTCCATATACATTACTCTTAAGGATTGAGGCTGTTGGGTTTCCAACTTTTGGGCTTCTACTGTACAGTTTACACATACACTAAGCCCAGATCCTCTAGATTCCTTAAAAGAAGGCCTTAAAGCCTGCACACTCTTCTTGCTCAAGAGATGACAGCGTTCAAGGACTTCTGAGAAGCTAGGTCGTGAATCTTGGGTACATACAATCCGACCCTGGTTTAGGTTTTAGAATGTAGGGGCTGGCACATTCCCATGCAAAGTTTATACCAGAGGCTGACATTTTGATGCCTGAAGTCCGAGTCCGCAATCACTCAAACTGGACACCCTAATGCGCAAGTTGTTTGATGTCTTATGATCATGGTTTGAACACCTCCAAATCCCGTTGAAGAAATGCCAGAGTGTACCAGACTCCAGCATCCTTGTCACTGAGCATCTCTGTGCTGCAAGGTCTCTGGGCTTTGGAGTACCATACTTTCATACTTTTCTTAAAGGAAACATTAGAATGAAATCAAAGTTTAGGCTTTTTTCTCCCTGTTTACTGAAAAGCCCAGGTCTTCATGCGGCAGTACAACTTACTGACGCAAGGGCCGCTCGCTTCCTTTCAGCCCGCTTCAGCCTGGGGGGTACGCAGGGTTCAGGGTTGACGATCGATAGAAACCTGAATAATTACTAATTACCAACACTGTCCCTTTGCTCCCCTCATTATGTTTAGTTATTATGACCCGGTGTGAGGAGCTTTTCGGGGGACAGGGATTAGCGGTGTTATGGCTCATGGTTTAGGAACCAGTGCTGGGCACAGCTTAACGGGCCTCCGGCTTCCTTGCACAACACGGTAGTTCAATGATTCTGATACTAGCGTTCTCAGCAGTTGCAACAATGCCCGTCGCAGAAGACTCATACAGCGATTTCCCCTCCAGGTTCGGCCTTGTGGCATTTCTGCTCTGCTTCGTTCCGGCGCAGCGCGCGCTGGACCAAACCTGCCAGGAAGCAGGGCAGCGGCTGGGATATGAAACGGTTTAGGGTTTGGCGGGGGGTTTAGAGTTTAGAGCTCCAGGGGTGCCCGGCAGTTGCAATAGGCCTGGATGCAAAAAAGGGTACGGTTTCGAGGTGAGGCGAGCATGAGGGCATGCGCACTGCAGCCCCTCCTCAAAAAAGAAGGCTTCGGCTTATGGATGTCATGCGAAAGGCTTTGGGGTCTTTGGTCTTGAGGTTTTGGGTTTAGGTGTTTTGGGGCGTACGGCGTACGGGTTTAAGGTTTTGGGTTTAGGGTTTAGACGTTCCAGGCTTTAGGGTTCTGGGTTTCGCGACAGCGGGTATAGGCTGCGATGCGATTAGGTGTAGAGTCTAGAGGGTTTAGAGCCGCGACGGTTTCATGATGGGGGGGCCCACTGACTTTCGTCATGACCTAGTTCTGCGCAGCTGGCAGACTGTTATGAGGTTCGCAAAGCTTTGATCCGGAAGAGTTGCGAAACGCTGAACCCCTAAACCATACCCAGAGGCCCCATAGTAGTTCCTTTTTGGGATTATGTACATTATAGGCATCTGAACCCCCAAAAAGGAACTACTTTGGGGCCTCTGGGTAAACCCATTGTGAGTACAGCCTAGGAAGGCCCTCCTCTTCTTCCTTATCTATGCGCTCCTCTTCGTCCTGCATCTTTGGGGCGATTCAAAGGCAATCCCTGGCATGATGAACCTGACCGAGGATCGGTTCGGTTCCTCACGGCTTATTTCCTTGACTCGGTTCGCTTGGAACGATAACAGCACAGTGTTCGCAACGATATGTTTGCAGAGCCGGAGTCTTTCATGCCAAAGACCAAAACCTCGAAGTGACCCCGAAATTCTAAACCTTCAACTAGGTGGCACTTTGGGAAACTTGTTTATTTCCCTTATGGTTCCTATAGAGGTACCTATTTATAAATACTTCTAAGAGACCCGAAACTACAACCCAGTCAAGGTTTGGGAGCAGTGGTTTAAGTTACAACGCAAGCCTGGAAAGGTCTACTCAAACCCCCCACGCCGGATACTGCTGCAGCTCTGAAGATCCAAAGACCTCAAATGGGAGTTTCCGAAAATTAGGATAATTAGGGGTACCTTAGTTGGGGGTCCTTCGAATAAGGATTCTGCTGTTTACGGTACCATATTAGGGTCTCTCTTTGCGGAAACTCCCAAATCTTACACCTGAACGAAAGCCTTCCTGCCTAAAGCTCTTAAAGGTTTGCTAAACCCTGAAGCCCCAAACCCTGAGCCGTAAAACCCTCGCAAGAAGCTCTTGTGGTCGCCCTTACAGGAACCCTGTAAGAACCCCTTAAACTCTGAACCCTCAAGGCTGCAAGTTCCGGTGCTTGCAGAGCTTTAGGGCTTAGGGCTTGGATTTCAGGGTATGCGCTTGGGAGTCTAAGGGCTTCAGAGATTGTGGGGGGTTTCGGCAATTCATGGGGCATAAGTACAGTAAGGTTTGGGAATCTGGGACTTTAGGATCAAAATTCAGGATTTTCAGGATTTGTAAGCTTGAGGGTTCAAGGGCTCTTTGTTGTTATTTGTTTTTTTTGTGGGGTTTCAGAGTTCAGGGCCGGGCGTTTAAAGATTTAGTGTGCTTGCTCCTAATGTTGGACAGGACCTCCGTCGGAAGCATGTGTCCTGGTTTGCACGAACTGGCGCGTTCGGAGTTTTTGGCCGTTCGCAGTCTGCTTCTACTGGACTTGATGTTCCGCCCAAACTCCAAACCGCACGGACAAAGTTCGGGGCTCCTCAGAACGTAGCGAAGAACAACACTGCGACGTGACAGGACCGGCCCCGGACGGCTTCAGCTTACGATTCGGAGGTACTTAGAGTAGTTTGGTCGAGTTTGGGCTTAGTGTTGCCCGGAAATGCAGCGGTGACCGAGGTTTCGTTGGACGCATTTCCGATAGGCCCTTGGCACGCGGCATCCAAGGCGGGAACCACACTCGGCTTCCTCCTGAGTTTGGCAAATCTCTACGACATCGGGCACTGGACTCCCGGCATGATATTGCTATTGCTATTACTATTACTATTACTAATACTGTACTAATACTAATACTAATACTATTACTATTACTTTTACTTTTACTATTACTTTTACTATTACTATTACTATGACTAATAGGGTTAGAGGTTTAGGGCTAGTAAGGGGCTCAGGGGTTCATGTTATCTGCGTCGCTTTCAATTCGAGACCCCCTGAAGCCTGCAGAAGTGACCGGTTTAAATTCTCGAGTTGCCAGTGCATCATGTTTTGTCACCAGTCTGTTCCTTCTGCTTCTCTGCCATGTAGTGCTTGTGCCGACATATTTATGGCTTCGACTTTGTGTTCCCGCTTGCTTGCTAGCAACAACTTTCAAAGTATGCCTGCTTGTGCTGGCTTCTTCGGTTGCTTCTTCTTAATGCTTCTTCTCAGCAGCCGCTCTAGCGGTGTTGCATCCTGGGTCTCCTCACCGTTCCTATGGGTCGCACTACTCATGTGATGGTGTCGTTGACAGTGCCGGCGTCTATGCTCTCTATGCTCAAGACTAAGAAAGACTCAGACAACTATTGGGGCGGAGGGTCTAGGACTCCGGGTTTGGAGATTCGTCTGTCCCAACCCAGACCCCCAGCATCTTCGAATTTCGCACGAGTGGTGGGTGTGTGCCTGCATGGGCGCGTTTGTGTTTGTGTGTGGGCCCTGCTTTGGGGGGATCATGGGGGCGGAAATTCTACTTGGCATTGCGGTTATGTCGAATCTGCCCCACTCAAAGGGCATGATATTTGCTCGTGTTTAGGGGAATGGTAGACTGTTTTGTTGTTGAAAGTTCATGTCATATGGCGGCTTGCTCTAAGTCATGGTCCCACTTGGGCTCCTCACTCCTATGCCTGTGATTTGGTGTGATCTGGGGATCACACCAATGTTTGCGAATCAGGATGTCTTGCTTCGGAGCCACGGGCTTAGGGTTTACGGAGCTACCTTACCTTGCCTGTTCTTTTCTTTTTTTGTCCACTGATGATGGCGGAAGCTCCGGTACCTGTTTGCTGGGTTACTATGCTGTCTTGGGGCCCTGCGTGCAATCCTTATACTAGTCTACAGCTACATCTGTGCATGTAACTGTACTGCAAGCGTGGGTATATCTGTAGTTGTATCCGGGAATCCGAAAAATTCCCGGTCTCTCACATGCAAAGTTGACCTGAAGAATAATAAGTCCTCCCCCACCCCCAAACCCCCACCCCCACCCCGCACCCCCCGGCCCCCAAACCCCCACCCCCACCGCAAACCCCACCCCCACACCCCACCCACCCCCCTAAAGCCCCCCAAAATCCGGGCCACGCTCAGGTTCTGCGTTGCCTCGTACTTCGCAATGGCGCCCTGCCGCCTACCCTATTAGCAGGGACGGCCGCGGGTAGTACTGAGTTCAAGGACTCAATGTCTGGAACCTGGAAGCATTTGAAACATAATTAATTGCACAGATGTCTTCAAGCCGCCTGTGATTTTATGATTTTTGCATTGTGGCATACGCCAACGTTTGCATGCTTGTCACAGCCGAGTTAGGCTTTTAGGGTTTGTTGCAGTGAGTCGTATTAGACTCTAGACAGTCTCCTCCTGCTGGCACATCAGAGAGTTCCACATTCGAGACAAAGGGTTTCGGGACAAGGCTCCGTTGCGAGAGGACCGGAGTTCGTATCCTGACTTGACACCATGCGCGCGGCACGGAAAAGCGGTCCAGCTTGGCGAGAGGGGCATGTGCTTGATTCCAAGTGGATAAGATGCAACCCCGAGCGTGAAGCCCTATACACCGAAATGCGCTATGCCTATAGCTGGTACGTACATCGACAAGGCAGAGCACCCAGCTCTTGCCAATCATCAGAGGCATCGGTCTTTGGAAGCCAGACATGTTGAAACCAGACACGACCGTAATACTCACAGCCAGGCATCACGAATTAAAACATGCGCCTCTTAAGCCAAACTAGGATCACTAGAAAGCCAGACCCTGCCAGAACCACATCAAGTCCATCATCAGCAACAACATCACCGTTTTTGGTCGCGTGACATACCGTACATGCCGTATTAAGTTGATTCGGGCTTGAAGCCTGAACCTGGGATTTATTTCTGCATGTTCGGATGTTCGCCATCGTCACCTTGCGAGCTGTGTGAAGCGGCAAGGACAACATTGCCATCGGTTAGGGTGGCACTTGCCGTCCTTTCTGGAACGCCCAGCCCAATAATCCCAACCGTAAGTCGAGCATGAAACTCAGTCCTAGTTTGGGTCTAGATCCTCACCTCGCAGCTCAAGCCTCTAAAGAGCCTTTCACCCGTGCTACAACCAGAAGCTCAACCCAGCCCCCTACTAGCCCCCAACTGCCGACCCCAACCCTACCTCCTAAACCCTAAACCCCTAAACACCAAACCGTTTTTGTCCATATACCCTCCCCAGGCGATCTGCCTAGTCCCTTCACCTCGGAGTCTCAAGTTGTCTGCTGCTTTCTGGTCAAGGGATTCCGGGGAGAGGCTACGTCGACAGGTACAGTCACTTTATGTGTTGATATAACTTGTTGCTGAAGGCGTCGTGACGAAGCCTCTTAGTGTCGTTTCACTTTGCAGACTCCAAACCATATGCCTCGCCTGGATTGTCCGAGTGTGAGCGCCGAAACACCAAACCGTGAATCCCTAAATGCCTAGAAACCCTCAAAGGCCCACACCGGCCAGATGATTGGCGGTCTCATGAACGCCACATTCGGAAATGCAGCACGGCCCTCAGACGGTGGATCGGGACACGGCTCATGTTGTGAGTTTAGAGTTTATAGGCCTTTTGAGGGTGTCCTGCGGATGCAAACTTTTTTTTTGCTAGGCCTGCGAACATGAAGTTTGGCAGTTTGAGGGCGCTCTCGGGCTTACCCACACCCCCCAAAATCCCATAATTAAGGAATATTCCTTAGATCATATTTGGGGTCCTACTTTAAAAAGGTATATTCCTTAATTAAGGGATATTGGCGTCTCTGGGTAATACAGGGTTGGCATTGTTTGAGTGGAAGGTGAG